CTCACCCCTCACTTCCTGTCTCTGGAAACCACTAGTCTTATCTCTGTATCTGAACTTGGGTTTTCTTGTTTTTCTAGATTCCACATACAAGTGAGGTTATACAGTATTTGTCTTTCTCTGACTTAATTCACTTAGCATAATGCCCTCAGAGTCTACCCATGTTATCAAAGTGGCAATATTTCATTCTTTTTTATGACCGAGTAATATTCCATTGTATATATATACCACATCTTCCTTTCCATTCATCCATTGATGGACATTTAGGTTGTTTCCATTGTCTTGGCTGTTGTAAATAATGCTGCAGTGAGCATGGGGGTATATATATCTTCGAGTTACTGTTTTCATTTTCTTCAGATAAATACTCAGAAGTGGATTTGCTGGACCACATGTTCTATTGTTAATTTTTTGAGTAACCTCCACATGATTTTTCATACTGGCTGAACCAGTTTACGTTCCCACCAACAACTGCACAAGGGTTCCCTATTGTCTACATCCTTACCAACACTTTTTATCTCTTGTCTTTTTGATGATAGCCTTTCTAACAGGTGTGAGGTGCTATCTCATTGTGGTTTTGATTTGCATTTCCCTAACAATTAGTGATGTTAAACATCTTTTCATTTACCTGTTGGTCATTTGTATGTCTTTTTTGGAAAAAGGTCTTTTCAGATCCTCTGCCCATTTTTTTTTTGTTTGTTTTGTTTTAAGACTTACTTAATTAATTATTTATTTATGGCTGAGTCCAGTCTTAGTTGCAGCACACGGGACCTTCATTGAGGCATGAGGGATCTTTCGTTGCAGTGCACGGGCTTCTCTAGTTGTAGCGTTTGGGTTTTTTCTTCTCTGTTTGTGGTGCACAGGCTCCTGGGCGCATGGGCTTTGTAGTTGTGGTGTGTGTGCTCTAGAGTGCATGGACTCTGTAGTTTGGCACGCAGGCTCTCTAATTGAGGCGTGAGAGCTCAGTAGTTGTGGTATGCAGGCTTAGTTGCCCCGTGGCATGTGGGATCTTAGCTCCCTGACCAGGGATCAAACCTGCGTCTCCTGCAATATAAGGCAGATTCTTTACCACTGGACCACCAGGGACATCCCCTCTCCCCATTTTTTAATTGGCTGTTTTTTTGCTATTGTATGAGTTTTTAATATATTTTGCATATTAACCCTTTATCAAATATATGACTTGAAGATATTTTCTCCCATTCAGTATAAGTTGCCTTTTCATTTTGTTATTGGTTTTCTTGGCTTTGCAGAAGCTTTTTATTTATTCTTTAATTGAGCTAGAGTTGATTTACAATGTTGTGTTTCAGGTGTATAGCAAAGTGATTTAGTCATAAATACATATATATTCTTTTTCAGATTCTTTTCCATTATAGGTTATTAACAAGATAATTGAGTATAGTTCCTTGTGCTATACAGTAAATCCTTGTTTTTTTATCTGTTTTATATATACTCCCATACTCCTAATTTATCTCTTCACACACCCCACTTTGCTAACCATAAGTTTGTTTTCTATGTCTGTGAGTCTGTTTCTGTTTTGTGAATGAGTTCATTTGTATTATTTTTTTTAGATTCCACATAAAAGTGATACCATATAATATTATATGTCTTTCTCTGTCTGACTTACTTAACTTAGTATGATAATCTTTAGGTCCATCCATGTTGCTGCAAATGGCAAAATTCCATTCTTTTTTATAGCTGAGTAATATTCCACTGTATATATATGTATACCACATCTTCTTTATCTGTTCATCTGTTGGTGGACATTTAGGTTGCTTCCATGTCTTGGCTATTGTAAATAGTGCCGCTGTGTACATTGGGGTGCATGTATCTTTTCAAATTAGAGTTTTTGTCTTTTCCAGATACAGGCTGAGGAGTGAGATTGCTGGATCATATCATAACTATACTTATAGTTTTTTAAGGAACCTCCATACTGTTTTCTGTAGTGGCTGCACCAATTTACATTCCCACCAGCAATGTAGGAAGGTTCCCTTTTCTCCACATCCTTTCCAGCATTTATTATTTGTAGGCTTTTTGATGATGGCCATTCTGACTGGTGTGAGGTAATACAGTAATACCACATTGTAGTTTCGATTTATATTTCTCTAATCATTAATGATGTTGAGCATGTTTTCATGTGCCTGCTGGCCATCTGTATGTCTTCTTTGGAGAAATGTCTATTTAGGTCTTCTGCCCATTTTTTGATTGGGTTCTTTGGGTTTTGTTTTGTTTTGTTTTTTGATATTGACATACATAAGCTGTTTGAATATTTTGGAAATTAACCCCTTGTTGGTTGCAGCGTTTGCAAATATTTTCTCCCGGCCTGTTGTCTTTTTGTTTTGCTTTTATGGTTTCCTTTGCTGTACAAAGCTTATAAGTTTGATTAGGTCCCATTTGTTTATTTTTGCTTTTATTTCTTTTGCCTTGGGAGACTGATCTAAGCAAATATTGCTACAATTTATGTCAGAGAATGTTTTGCCTGTGTTTTCTTCTAGGAGTTTTACGTTGTCATGTTTTATATTTAAGTTTTTAAGCCATTTTGAGTTTATTTTTGTATATGGTGTGAGAAAATTTTCTAATTTCATTCTTGTACGTGAAGCTGTCCAGTTTTGGCAGCACCACTTAGTGAAGAGACTGTCTTTTTTCCATTGTATATTCTTGCCTCCTTTGTTGTAAATTAATTGACCATAAGTGTGTGGGTTTATTTCTGGGCTCTCTATTCTGTTCCATTGATCTACCTGTTTGTTTTTGTGCCAGTACCATACTGCCTTTTTGTTTTTTTGTTTTTTTTGGCTGCATTGGGTCTTTGTTGCTGTGCACTGGCTTTCTCTAGTTGCATCTTGCAGTGGCTTCTCTTGTTGTGGAGCACAGGCTTGAGACACACAGGCTCAGTAGTTGTGGCTTTCAGGCTGTAGAGTAAAGGCTCCATAGTTGTGGCACACAGGCTTAGTTGCTCCACAGCATGTGGGATCTTCCTGGACCAGGGATCGAACCTGTGTCCCATGCATTGGCAGGCAGATTCTTAACCACTGCACCACCAGGGAAGTCCCACCATACTGCTTTGATTACTGTAGCTTTTAGTATAGTCTGGAGTCAGGGAGCATGATACCTCCAGCTTTGTTCTTCTTTCTCAAGGTTATTCTAGCTATTCAGGGTGCTTTGTGTTTCCATACAAAATTTGAAATTATTTGTTCTAGTACTGTGAAAAATGCCATTGATACTTTGATAGGGATTGCACTGAATGTGCAGATTGCCTTTGGTAGTATGGCCAGTTTAACAATATTAATTCTTCCAGTCCATGAACATGGTATGTCTTGCCATCTATTTGTGTAATCTCCAATTTCTTTCATCAGTCCCCTTATAATTTTCTGAGTACAGGTCTTTTACTTCGTTAGGTAGGTTTATTTCTAGGTATTTTATTCTTTTTGATGTGATTGTAAATGGGATTGTTTACTTAATTTCTCTTTCTGATAGTTCACGGTTACTGTATAGAAGTGCAACACTATATTAATTTTATTAACATTAACTGTACATCAACTTTGTATCGTGCAATGCTACCAGATTCATTGATGAGCTCTAGTTTTTTGGTGGTGTCTTTAGGATTTTCTATGTATAGTATTACATCATCTGCAGACAGTCATAGTTTTACTTCTTCCTTTGCAATTTGGATTCCTTTTCTTTTTCTTGTCTAATTGCTGTGGCTAGGACTTCCAATGCTACGTTGAATAAAAATGGCAGGAGTGGGCATCCTTGTCTTATTCCTGATCCTAGAGGAAAAACTTTCATTTTTTCACTGTTGAGTAGGATATTAGCTGTGGACTTGTTATATATGGCCTTTATTATGTTGAGGCACATTCCCTCTATATCCACATTGAGAGTTTTTATCATAAACGGCTGTTGAATTTTGTCACATGAGTTTTCAAAATTCCTGAATAAGTTAGAATTCTCTAGCTAATGGGTTACTTAGGTTTTCTATCATCTGTATAAAACAATGAGGATAACTTTTTTACAGTATTGAAAATGACCCTCTTATTAACATGGTTATGTATTTTGGTTATTAGTCTTTAAGAAATTATTACACAACAAAATACACTTAAAACTGTGTTCAGTATGGTCTCAGCTTTCACAGGAACTTCAGAGTCGTTATGAACTGACTCATAATACAACTGAAAAAAGTTTCTTCACGTCGTCCTTTCTTGCTGTCTGGAATCTCGATAAAGATTGTTAGTATTTTTTATTGTTATTATTTATATCTAAGTGACCATCTTCATACTTTTTATCCTCGCTCTAGGATTTGAAACTAGTTGTTCTCTCTACTTGTCAGGATGTTAAGTTTTGAGCAAAAGATAAAAAGCAAGGATATAAACGAAATAATTTTCTGACTAGTCTTTTGCTTGACAAGGTTTTCTGTATATGTGTTTGCCACTTAGTTCAAGTCTTTGCCTGAGGTGGTGGTTGGTCTAGTGCAGAGGGCTATGAGCTTATAGTCAAAAAGTGTGCATCTGGGCTTCACCACCGAGTGCCTGATATTTGAGTTAGTGTCGGGGCCTTGTCTGGCTTTCAGAACCTAAGGGTTGTTTTATTTCTGTTTTAAAGGATGGAAGGCTCCTTTCATATCATTTTCCATATCCTGCTTCTAAAGATGAATTAATAGAGGTAGATCTGCCCCACCTGTTTATAAGGCAGCTGGTGACAAATAAGAGAAGGGCACCAAAATTTCATTACATTGAAATCAACATTGCTAGAGTAATGCCATCAGCTGTGAACTCTCCCTTCCTGCAAGCGTTATAACTCCCTGAACTTTTGCACAGGACATAACTGACTGTAACCAAACTTGTTTGGTTCATCTCCAGAATCACATGGGACACTTGGTTGTTCCTTAGTGTCAGATAGAGCTGATCATTTGGGAATAAAAGGTTGAGAGTAAGATACAAAAAAACACGAATTTTGTTCTGTGTGTTTTAGTTTATTGGAAGAAATTGTTCAACAGATAACCGTTTACTTTACAGACACCACTAAAGAAAACCAAGGCTCTCATTGGAGGGATGGGGATGACTTTCTCCAGTGCTGTAAGTTTTGAAGCTGATTTAATTTTGTTACACTTTAATTGTGTTTATGTTCTAAGAAGAAACACTTTCTTTTGGGTAATCTACTGTAATTTCTGTGGTTTTTTTCTAATTAAATGCCTGATCTGAGGGAAGGAGTCTATTTAATGTTATATAGATTTGTTTAATTGAAATATTACTTCGTAACAATTGAAGATTAATTGCAGGTATTTTATAAGCCATTCTCATCTACAACTCAGAACTAGAGAAGTTTATTTAAAACTTCACTGTTTGAGGTTTGAAAATGGATTGTAAGGAACGGTTAATATTTGTACTGTGTAAAATGTTCCATGGTAAAAGCTTGCAGGCTACTCTACAAAACCTGGTTAACCCTGATAGCCAAACCTAACGAAGATAATAGCAGCAAAATGAAAGAAACCCAACAACAACTGTATGTACATATATGTAAATACAAATATATGTGTATATGTACATGTGTAAACATAAATACAGAGATCCAAAATAAAATACTGACAAATCAAATTCAGGAACCATGCTCATAACCAAGTCAGTGGTAGCCCAGCTTAATATCAGGAAATCCATTGAACAGCAGCTAGTGTTGTGGTTAAGAGCAGACTCTGGAACCAGATCACCCTGTTTTGAATGTTGTCTCTGCCTCTCTCCTAGCTGTGCGACCTTGGGCAACTTATTAACTGTTTTGGCCTTTGGTTTCCCCATTTGTAAATAGGGATACTAAAACCTGTCTCAGAGGTTAAATGGATTGTTACATGTAAAGCAAGCATTTATATCAGTGCCTAACTTAGAGTAAGTACCACTACATAATGGTGGTTATTATATTGTTCACCAACATATCAGTGGTTAAAAGGAGGAAAATTAGTTACTCATCTCAATGGAAGCTTGAAAGTCCTCTGAAATGTTGGCATCCTTTCCTTGTAACTTATTAAACTGTTACATCTGTACTATGCCCAATATTTCAAACAAATAGCACAACTTACAGTTAAGGTTAAAGTCTCAGAGCACTGCTGTTAGGGAAGAGACAAGGGCCCAATATCTCTCACTTAATGCTCTTCTGAACTGTCTAGTCGTTGGCATAAGTCTTGTGGAATTCAGAGGTAAAAGTACTGGAAAAAGACAAAAATTGTTATTTCCACTTGTCTGGATTTTCTGCCTAGAAAACATAGAGTTGTTGGAAAACTTTTTAAATTAATAGAATTTAGTAAGGTAGAAATGAAAAAATAGAAGTAACTTTCTTCCATATAACTAGTTAGAGAAACATGGGGGAGAGAAGATCCCACTTATACAGCAGGAAAATATAGACTCTAGGAATAGCTGGTGGTGGCCAGTAATGGTTAAGACCTATAAATGTAGTTACAAAATTTTCTGAGTGATAAAGTATTGGGTTGGCCAAAAAGTTCATTACGGGTGATGTTACGGAAAAACCTGAACGAACTTTTTGGCCAACCCAATACTTCATACATAGATATGCACATCATTTTCTGTGGAAAGCCACAAGATTATAAAACGCTTATTCTAATCAGAATCCCAACAAGGTTTTTTTTAGGCTGAATTAAGTGATTCCAAAGTTATCTGGAATAATAAGTAGGTTAGAATAATCAAGGTAAAATGTTTAAAGGAAGAGATTTCCCTACTGGATACTAAATGTAAGATCCAGTGAGCAGTGTGGCATTGGCCAAAAAATAGATCAGGAAATATAAAAGGGAGAGAATTAAAAGAGTTGCCAATGTGAAAATTATAAAAGTCAAACATGTAACAAAATCAAAAAGCAAAAGTAAAAAATGGGAAGTATTTGTAACATGATTGAATCCTTCCTTAACTCAAATTTTATGTAACAAGAGGGGAAAAAGCGCAAAGCACATGAACAAACCATTCACGTGAACACAGTTGGTCAGTATGAATGAGGAGAATGTTCATCCTCACCGGTATTTAAAAATGCCAAATCCAGTTTGAAAAGCCAAAGAAATGCTAGGTATTTCAAAGGGATAATATGTAATTCTGGCAAGGGCGTGCTCAAATGAGCATTCCCTCCCTGCTGGTGCGAGTATAAGCTCCTATTACCCTTCTGTAAAGTGGATCGGTGATGAGTATTAAGACCTAGACAAATATTTGGTTGAATAGGGTAATTCATTTGATCACAGGAGCTAACAGAAGCATAATTAGAGTAGGAAAAAAATTTGTGTCCAGTGTATAAAGTGATGCAAGAAATGTATAAAGCTACAGATCAGTCTGAAAATGAACCTCTACTTCTCTGCCACATTAGATTCAAGTAGCATTCTTTGTTCAAGACCTAGCTCCCACCATGCTGTATTCCTTGCATGTAAATATTTCTTTGGCAGATGAAATTAGAACAACTTTAGGTTATCCTGTAGAAAGAAACCAGCTGAAAAAGAAATCAGTTCTCTGGGTTCTATCTGCTTTACTGTCTCCACTAGGGGACTTAAAGCAGCTCTGAAATGTGTCATGTATAAAGAAAACCTCTATTCCATGGGAAACTAGAAATTTGACTTCGGAGCATTGAGCGGCTTGCTTTCTGTTTAGAAATGATGAGAAATCCGTCTGTCTTGTGTAACTTTGCCTTTTTTGCATCTCTTCTGTTTGTAGTATGTGCCAAGCGCTCTTTGCTGTCCGAGCCGAGCCAGTATCCTGACAGGGAAGTACCCACATAACCATCACGTCGTTAACAACACTTTGGAGGGAAACTGCAGTAGTAAGTCTTGGCAGAAGATCCAAGAACCAGATACTTTCCCAGCAATTCTCAGATCAATGTGTGGTTATCAAACCTTTTTTGCAGGGAAATACTTAAATGAGGTATGTTGAATGATCTAATTATTACCGTTCTTTCTTTTTAAAAAACAGCTTCTTGAATGTGAATTAGTATGATTCATGTTAATTGTTTTTTAATTAGCATCGTTCAAGTCATGTTAAACGGTTTTGGGGGTATGTTGTTTTCTCTTAATCTGCCTGTTAAACCAGAACTTACATGAACGTATTTACATGATTTGGGCACTGTGGTTATTCTTTCTTTAAATAGTCTCTGGAGCATTTGTTTAAAAATTGTCTTAGGACTGCTATGGTCTGATGCATATTCCCCCTTTTCCTCAAGAATTCTGCTTGTCCTTTGGCTGTCATGGTATCTTTGTTTCCATTTCCCCCTTTATCAGGAGTGGAGTGAAGAATTTTTTCCTCTGGGCATCTTTTCCTGAATTATAGCAGCTTAATGGTTAACCCATTTTCTGAAAACTGGGAGCAGATTGTGGAGAGATCAGTGATGAAGCAAAAGCACCCAGAGCCTGAGACATTCAGGCCATTGAAGCATGTGGCCAAGTGGTTAGTGTGCTGGCCTTGAGGGCCTGGATGGAGGGAGGCCTCACTGTGACCTGCCAAGGCCAGATTTCAGGGCCTCGAGTCCACCACATTGGCCTTAGCATTTAGTCGAAGTTCAGGCTTAAAAGAAATCATGTGTTTGAGAGTGTTTGGGGTTATCTCTTAAAATAAAACTGGGGATTCAGGACAAAGAGAAGATGCACGTTTTCTTATGTACTTTATCTGTGGTTGCTAGAGATCTTAATATCTGATCTGAATTTTGTTAATTCTCCCCCTCCCCGCAACAGTTGGGGGATTTGCAGCCTTGTGGATTTGACGAAAAATGAGTCAGTTTGAAAAGAATCATGAGCACTGTGATGGGTTAAAGCTATAGGTCATAAAGAGACCTTACACTACTTTGCATGTTGAAGATCATCTAACGTATACAAAATTAGAAATTCTTCAAAATACAAAGACTTAGGGGACTTCCCTGGCGGTCCAGTGGTTAAGATTCTGTGCTTCCAAAGCAGGGGGCACGGGTTCGATCCCTGGTCGGGGAACTAAGATCCCAACGTATCGTAGACACAGCCAAAAAAAATAATAATAATAACAAAGATTTAGTTCTTAGAGGCACTGCCTTAAATGGGCAGTATTAAGCCTTGTCGAGATAAAATGGGATGATTCTGTGATCTCTTCACTTAATTCATCTCATCAGATAAATTGAGTCCAAAAGTAGACTTCACCAGCAGGACAGCTGAAGTGATAGGCTGGTAGCTTGTAGTCTGATGATTTGGGCTGTTAGCCACAAGGTTGCCTGGACCATTCAGTCTAGGCCATCAGTAGCTCAGCAAATGAGCCATGTGGCCTAAGCTATGTGGCCTTTCCCTGTAAAGGGCCAGAAGTGAATATTTCAGGCTTTGCAGGCCATATGTCTCTATAGTGACTCTACAGTTCTGCTGTTGTAGCAGGAAAGCAGCCACAGACTTACATAAACCAATGAGTGTGCCTGTGTTCCAGTAAAACTTCACCGTGACTGAAATTTCAATCTCATGCAACTTGTCACAAAAATATTCCTCTTTTGATTGTTTTTTTTTTTAATTCAAGTATAGTTGATTTTGATTGGTGTTTATATTTTTTAATGTTTGGAAGAAAATTCTTAGCTTGCTGGCCACACAGAACAGTAGGCAGGCTAGATTTGGCCTGCCAGCCATAGTTTGCCAACTCCTGCTTCAGAAGTTCCTAGGACGATAGTGTTCTTTACTTCTTGACTGTTATGTGTTTGAGGAAATTGAGCACCTACCATGTTTCAGGCACTGATCTAAAAAGATTCTGGGGGCTTCCCTGGTGGCGCAGTGGTTGGGAGTCCGCCTGCCGATGCAGGGGACGCGGGTTCGTGCCCCAGTCCGGGAGGATCCCTCATGCCGTGGGGCGGCTGGGCCCGTGGGCCTTGGCCGCTGGGCCTGTGCGTCCGGAGCCTGTGCTCCGCAATGGGAGAGGCCACAGCAGTGAGGGGCCCGCGTACCGCAAAAAAATAAATAAATAAATAAATAAATAAAAATTTTGATAATAAATAAATAAAAAGATTCTGAAAGTTTCCTCTTTCCTTCTGGTCTGGTCACGTCCTAAGGACTTCTAATGCGCTGCTTGTTTTGCTTTGCAGTATGGAGCCCCAGATGCAGGTGGACTAGCACACGTTCCTCTAGGCTGGAGTTACTGGTATGCCTTGGTGAGTGATTAATGAAGTCAGTGGCAATTCTGCACAACCCTGCAGATGCTGTTTACTTTCTGCTGTAGCTCTGATGTTGACATTATTTGGTTTGCTTTTATGATTGACCATTTTGTCTCCTTAAAAGAAAGTCTGTTGATTTGTGAGTCACTCTGTTTGTGGGATACTTTTCTTGCATTCCACAAGGTTTAGCAACATATTTTGCTGTTCTGCTGGATCCATTTCTGGCTTTTTAAACTAGGACATATTATTGAAACTGTGCTAGTAGTTAATAAAACCCTAGTCATAAAGCCCAATTCAACATTGACTTGAGCAATTACCTTTTTTTTTTTTTGTCTCATCACTATTTAAACAGAGTATAGTTTAGCCCAGCGTGGTTTCCAACTTTCATTTTGTGTGCTGACCTTATAAAAAATCTTACTTTCCTCTCTTTAATAGGAAAAGAATTCTAAATACTATAATTATACCCTCTCTATCAATGGGAAGGCACGGAAGCATGGTGAAAACTACAGTGTGGACTACCTGACAGATGTCTTGGTGAGTCACTGAAGCTCTGTTCTTGCACTTTAGCTCATGTTTAATTAAACTCTCTGCCTAGGAAATCTTTACTTGTATTTGTTAATGTTGGGTAACATGAATAATAACTTGGTCTAACCGCCAAATAATATTTCCAACTGATTAAAAACTCCTGAGGGTGTTTTTCTTTGTAATTAAGCCAGGCTCAGATCTAATGTTCTTGAAATTCCAGCAGCAAATCCCTTTTCCAAAGGCTAATCTCTAAGACTATAGAGATTACTTTGAAGAGGTTTTACTTTGTAGGGGTTCCTACTCTTGATCCCAGTTTTACTCACAAACTACAAGATGGCAGCTTCATCATGAGGGTGGCGGGATAGGGATAGGGGAGTTCTTCAGGCATTGTATATTATATATAAAAAATACTGAAATTGGGACGGGAATTTGGGACTGTCCTTTCCTGTCTAAGATGTATCTAATGACAGCCCCCCCCATAGGGCATTCATTCACCAAGTACTTCAGCACCCATTATAGCAGGTGTTCAGCAGTTAATGAAACAAAGTCCTTGATTCTGTGGACGGCAACCTTTCAGTGGAGGATTTTATTTACCCATATGTGTGTTGTCTTGTTAGATGGCGATTAGTTAGAGAAATAAGGCAGGGGATGGGAGTTACTTAGATAACATTTAGGCAAAATCCTAAAGGAGGTGAGAGTGAGCTATACAGGTCAGGGGGAAGAGTGCCACAGGCAAAGGGAACAGAAAGCGTGAGGGTGTTGAACCAGGAGTGTGCCTGGCAGGTTGGAGAAACCACAGGGTTTCTTGACAGGGCTGGAGTAAAGTAGGGGGATGGGATGGTGATAAGAAATTGATAGTATCTTTTGAGTTTAGTGTTGGGAATAAATGAAGATGTAAATCAACTAGAAAATTAAAAACACAGCATGTATGTGGGAAGCTTTCATTTTCGTAAAGTATCTCCAGAGAAGCAAATGAAAAATTTAAGTCCATATAAATTAAAACCCTGGTGTGGTGTATTTGGACTTAATATTATTCGCTTAGTTTAGCTGCTTCAGCTGGCACAACTTAGGTTATCTACTCTCTACATATTTTTGTAAAATTACAGTAACTTTATTCACTTTTCCCACTGTTGTGAATTAGGTTGGCTCTCTTTTTATGTTCTTTAAAGCATCAAATGTATATATTCTAAGCTGCATAAATGTATATGCTCTAAGCTACATTAATATAAATTAATACTAAAATGGCCAAATTACTATTTTTTTTCCTTATGGGAGGCATAACAATTTTTAGGTCATGTAAAATCATCAAAATTCTACTTGCTTTCTTCGATGGTGTGCTTTTCCATTTTTTATTGTGTTTGCCTGAAAGCCAAACGATCTGTTCCAGCAACACGCTTGCAAGTGACTGTGACATAGACTGTATGCTAGGATGGGTGGAAAGCTAATAGGGCCCTGTACCCCTGTTCACCAGAGAACAGGTATCTATCAAGTCCTCAACTGTGAGGTAGGGTAAGCAATGACAAATCTTTGTATATGTCAGGCCAATGTCTCCTTGGACTTCCTGGACTACAAGTCCAACTCTGAGCCATTCTTCATGATGATCTCCACTCCAGCACCTCATTCGCCTTGGACAGCTGCACCTCAGTACCAGAACACCTTCCGGAACGTCTTTGCACCAAGAAACAAGAACTTCAACATCCATGGAACGGTAGCTTCCCCTAACCCTTGCATTAAGCCATGCTCGATGTGATTAATTGTGTAATATACTTGTCAGGGAGCCTTTGAATCATATAGTTGGTCTTCCTTCTAAATCTTTTAAAGGTAATTGCACCTGTCGCTAATATACTAGGTAGTATACACTTGCTTCAGAAGTCAGATAAGGTTCCTGCCACACACCCAGTGGGCAGCTGGAGAGTCGGTGGACAATGGTAAACAAATGCCATCTTTCCTGGCTACAGGCTCTTTTGATAACCTCTGTGCTGGCACTCCTCCTTCCCGGCAGTGGCTGAGACATGTCCCTTGGGACTGAGCTGGGCCTGCAGCAGTCTCCTTTGGGTGGCCCTTACCAGGCCCGAGGCATAGGAAGAAGAGGGGTGACACAGTGCAACGTGATTGGGAAGGGAAGTTGAATGGAGAAATGAGCCAGAGAAGGCCATGACCCAAATACTGTTCACTTCGTATGCCACTTACCCTTCCCATGGCACAGGAGATGGGCAGTTTGCTAGTTCAAAGGCAGAAAGATTCTACTGCCTCATGCCTGTTACCCAGAAATCTTAGTTGCTTGCGAGGTGGTAGCAAGAATGAGTCTTGGAGTTAGAGTCCCTATTACTGCTTTCTAGCTAAGTGACCTGACCATGAGCAAGATGCTTAACTTGCATTTTTCTCTCTAAAGTCGGGGATCCTGACCTCTCCTGCAACTCTTGTATAGATTAAAACACACAGAAGCGTCTAGCATGTTGCCTGGCACATTGTAGGCATGTGCTTGCCATGGATGACATTAAAGATGAGTGAACCGAGTTTGAAACCTGGGTGCCATTCTCTCTGTGTTCCAAAAGAAGTTCATAGAAGTTCCCATGACTAAGTAAGGTTAGAGACTTCAGGTTAAATAAGTCACTCTGCTGCAGGGTTTCTCAGAGTTATTCGTGTTCTGACATGAACTTGCAGCAGGAAGAGATGCTCTGTAGCATTTGTCAAGCATATGCTAACTGAGGAAGGCTTTGAGCATCACAGTTTGCCAGATGGCAGCTTAGGGTTTTATGAATGGGGAGGAGACAATAAATGGTGTTTGGCAATGTTTTGTTGTTTTTTTTTTTAAACTGTGACTCTTTTATTTATATGAGAAGAATCCTCTAGATTTGGACTTGAAGTTTTAGGAAATTGCTGTGATGAAATTTTTTCCCAAGGTCCAAGGATGATCACTATCTTAGGTAGGAAAGATAGAGGGGGCTGTGGAATGATGACTTATTAGGCAAAACTTAGAGGAAGGTAAAGTGGATATTTATCCTTTTATAGTTTGGGTGGTAGACCCAAGTTATAAATTTAATCTTCTGGTTAGTAGTTTCCAGTATCTTTCACGAAATCTCTTCTTAAAGCTGCTAACAAAGGAGCCCAGGCCTTCGGCCATTAAGGAGGTGATGAGAAGAAGCCAAAGAATGAGTGATAATTGCAGAAAGTTTTTTTTTTTACCAACACAGGGGAAGGAAGTGGGGGTAGGTGGTGGAGGGAAAATCTGAAGTTGCTTAAACAGGCTCCAATTAGTTCCTTTTTTGCTTGAGTAAATCTTTTTCATTATCTATTCTAGCAGTTTGACTGTGGTGACTTGGTGTTAACTTCTGTTTTTCTTTTAAATTTTAGAACAAGCACTGGTTAATTAGGCAAGCCAAGACCCCAATGACTAATTCTTCAATACAGTTTTTAGATAATGCATTTAGGAAAAGGTAAGAGCTGCTCCTTTCCAGTCTAGGTGGTCTTTGAGGACCCTCAGAAGCAGCCCATGAACAGGGAACTGCACCACATGGTTATTTCTGAGAAAAAATCAGAGGGTAGCAAGATGTTGGGAGAGACTCTGATGGGAGGTCTTTACATTTAGCTACAAGGTGGTCTTTGGACCTCAGGTCTAATTAAACAGTCCGTTTTTATGACTTGTTAAAACATTGCAAATTGGAGCCATTTGGTTTTTTTAACAATTTTCTATATCTAAAGAAAAGGTCAGAAACAACCTAAGTGTCCATCATCAGATGAATGGATAAAGAAGATGTGGCACATATATACAATGGAATATTACTCTGCCATAAAAAGAAACGAAATTGAGCTATTTGTAATGAGGTGGATGGACCTAGAGTCTGTCATACAGAGCGAAGTAAGAAAGAGAAAGACAAATACCGTAGGCTAACACATATATATGGAATTTAAGGGGAAAAAAATGTCATGAAGAACCTAGGGGTAAGACAGGAATAAAGACACAGACCTACTAGAACATGGACTTGAGGATATGGGGAGGGGGAAGGGTAAGCTGTGACAAAGCGAGAGAGAGGCATGGACATATATACACTACCAAACGTGAGGTAGATAGATAGTGGGAAGCAGCCACATAGCACAGGGAGGTCAGCTCGGTGCTTTGTGACCACCTAGAGGGGTGGGATAGGGAGGGTGGGAGGGAGGGAGACGCAAGAGGGAAGAGATATGGGAACATATGTATATGTATAACTGATTCACTTTGTTATAAAGCAGAAACTAACACACCGTTGTAAAGCAATTATACTCCAATAAAGATGTAAAATAATAATAATAATAATAAAAGGTCGCTTTGTGAGAAATTAGCCCCAATATTTGCCTGAGACCCAAAGGCTTAGGCTAGAGTGGAATATTTGCCTTTGCAGTTTTTAGTTTTCAGGAAATTCTTACTTTCTCTTAAGGTGCATTTAGTTTTAGACCAGGGGTTGGCAAAGTTTCTGTGAAGGGCCAGACAGTAAATATTACAGGCTTGTCGGCCATATAGTCTGTGTCACTGTTGCTTAGCTCTGCTGTTGCAGCGCAAAGCAGCCCTGGACAAGAATGAATGAGCATGGCTGTGCTGCAATAAAACTTTATACATAAAGCAAACAGCGAGTTGTTGTTTCATGGGCGTAGAGATTCAGATTTGCAAGGTGAAAAGGTTCTGGAGATCTGTTCCACTATGTGAATATACTTAACGCTACTGATCTGTACCCTTAAAAGTTGTTAAAACAGTAAATTTTATGTTACGTGTTCTGTACCGCACTGTCTTGACCACAGACAGTGGTCAAGCTTTGGCCCGTGGCTCTCGTTTGCTGGCCCCTAGTTCGACCATTAAACAGTGTTGTAGCCATCAGGTCTATCTGAATTCATCTCTATCAGTTGGTGCTGGGTTGACAACTTTCCCTTCCAATAGTCTTTTATTCTCATCACCAGCCACGATAAATAATAAAGCTAATTGGTTATAAAAAGCTTCATTTATTTCTGTAGAATCGGTTAAATTTGGAATCAACTAATTGTGTTCTGGAGTTTTCTAATCTGTGTTTTGCAATGAATGGAAGGAAAGGAAATAGGGGATTTGAGCTTTTGGGGAGAGTGGCTCTGAGGGGGGTTTTTTTGGGAAGGAGGTTGGGAGTTTGTTTTGATTTGGTTTTGGGGTGTTTTTTGGACTTTGCTTTTTCGGCAAGATGGCAGTACCTCGGCCATTGTCTCTGAAGTCCCACTGCTGCCCTCTGTTCACATCCAGGTGGCAGACTTTGCTGTCAGTTGATGACCTTGTGGAGAAGCTGGTCAAGCGATTGGAGTGCAGCAGGGAGCTCAATGACACCTACATCTTTTACACGTCAGACAATGGCTATCACACAGGTAAGGGGCACCATGACCTTTGCGGGGTGCCTTTCCTTTCTCGCCCAATTCGTACCACTGGCAGGGAGCTCCTGTCCTTTCGCGGCAGCGGACAGGCCAGAGGGAGGGTCTTGCCCTCAGAGCTCCTCTGGTTAGAGGGCCAACTCATTTCCCCTGGTGAGAGACCAGGTTTCATTATTTGCTATTTCACAGGCTGAATTACATGGTGTTCTAGGAGTCTGAGCAGAGAGTGAGCTTGATGGGTTAGAGGCAGGCTTTATGAAGTAGGTGAGAAATTGAGCTAGATTTTAAGGACAGTGGATCTCAGGGAATAGGGGCATGACATTTGACACAGGAAGACCACGAGAGGGTTGTCCTGGGGAAGAACTTTCCTGTGAAATGAGGTGTTTTGGTGTGTGTGAGTTTTGTTTTGTGTTTCTTTTCACAACTGCAGTATGTGTCACCCCCGTGTCCTTGACTTTCATCCTTTCTTCTTGGACCTTCTCTAGTTAAAAATCAGTATTTTTTTCTTTCTCCACTCTTTTAAATTTCCTAAACTTGAAGGGAATTAATCTGAGGTTTGTTTGCACGGGAGCAGACTGATTAGGCATTTCATGCGGTGTTATGAATATTTTTAAGCACTCACAGTAGAGACTAGTAAAATAACTCCCATTGTCCAGCTTTGATTTTCAGCTGCACGAGACCGGTCTTTAGAATTCCTCATACCTTCTTCATGTTCCTTTTTTAGCTAGAAGTTTTTGAAGAAACTCCAGATGTTGTGATTCCATATGTCAACACTTGATTGTGCATCTGACTAGTTCATTACCTATCAGAACCTACTCAAAGTCCACATGCTACCTTTAGTTTTTATGTGTCTTAAGGCTGTCCTTTGCCACCGATTTATTGGGAAAACTCGTCTTCTGTCCTTTAGAATATCTCACATTCCAGATGTAGCTAATTGCTCGTGTGATGCCTTAACTCGTTTATCGATACTCAACATTGTCTATAGATTGGTAGTTAGATCTAGAGTCTTAATGGAAGTTCGCGTTTTCAACAAGAATGCTTTCTAGTTGATGCTGTTATGTACTTATTGCTTCATTCACATCATGCCGCTGGGATGTCTGGTTGCCTCACTTTAGGGATGCTGTTACTGTTTGATGGCTCATGTGGTATCAACCTGAGCCCATCCTATGAACCTTTTGTGGCTAAAACTTCCATTGATGATTGTTGCTTAAATCTCTTCCCTCAGAAATTGCAAAGTTTGACTTCATAACTCTGTCCTTCCTTCTGAATTTACTGGCTGGAATTCCTCAGGAAATTCCCCTCATCAGCTATTTGGTTATCTTGAAATATAGTTTATTCAGGAAAGGCTGGATAAATGGTTTTGTCCCTTTATTTAGCAGCTTTTAGAGTAACTTCATTCAATTGTGATCAGGTCGAGTATCATACGTAAATAGTGTATTTTTGCTTCAATACTTTCTAGTCATTCTTTTTGCTGAATTTGCCTATTTTAGACCAGGGTGTCCCTCTAGGCATTTTTTTTTAAAGATGAGCTCATTGTTTCCTGCCTTGTAGTAATAAGAGACCCAGGCAAATTTAAGCTTTCCATTAAAACCCCATAATTAGTAGAACAAGGCTGTTTTTGATTTTTACTGTTTATTGAATGAATGCATGCATGAGTGACATTTCTATCTCGGCTCCATCTTTACCCTATGCATTTTTTTTTTCAGGACAGTTTTCTTTGCCAATAGACAAAAGACAGCTGTATGAGTTTGATATCAAAGTTCCACTGTTGGTTCGAGGGCCTGGGATCAAACCAAATCAGACAAGCAAGGTAGGTTGCTGACAAGGTGATGTAGCATTTGCCTGAGGAAAGAAAGCTATTCCTCCTAAGAGGAGGCTGATTCAGTTTCTCCTCCTTTGAGGATGAAGGCTGATTGGCTTAAGATTTTTTGCAAGTGTATTTATAAGCCTTGCAAACAGTGATTCTTTTTTCTTTCCTTTTTTTTAATTGAAGTATAGTTGATGTACAATATTCTGTAAGCTACAGGGGTACAATATAGTGATTCACAATTTATAAAGGTCATACTCCATTTAGTTATTTTAAAATATTGGCTGTATTCCCCGTGTTGTACAACATAACCTTGTAGCTTATTTTATACCTAATGCTCTTGATCCCCTACTCCTATATTGTTCCTCTCCCATCCCATCTCCCCACTGGTAACCACTAGTTCTCTGTATCTGTTCTCTATATTTTGTTATATTCAGTAGTTTGTTGTATTTGTTAGATTCCACATATAAGTGATATCATTACAGTATTTGTCTTTCTCTGTCTGACATATTTCACTTAGCATAATACCAGTAAACTGCTGGCCACCCACTATTAGATGTATATGTATCATATTAGCATGAAGAGCTTTTGCTTGTGTTTTGAGACTAGATTTTTACTTGGTCCTCGAGCCGTGACTCTCCACCAGGGTGCTCATCAAAACTACCTTCTGAAACTGAAAGGCTCAACATCTAGAAAGGCTGAGATTGACTCACTTGAACTGGAATAGAATCCCTGCCTCTGCTTTTTTTCTTAAGTTCACAATGATTCTGAGAGGCAGCCCAGTTTGGGGCCCATAGCCCGGGAGAGCAAAGCTCTTCAGGCTTCGTTGTGTGTGCACATCCCCTGGGGGCCTTGTTGAAATGCAGATTCTGATTCTGCATTCCAGCCTGCTCCCAGGTGTTCCCAGGTGATGTCTGCTGCTGGTCTGACCTTCCTCTGAGTATAAGGCTACAGAAAGGGTGTTGTCTGAGAACTTAGTCCCTCTCCCTGTGGGGACTGTTCCTCACTAATGCCTTTCTACTTGACTGGTTCTCTCTCCTAGTACTGTCATAAAGTAACACGTTCTTTTGTTACCATTTCCATTTGGTTTCCAACTGAGTTCCTAATACTGAGGTACTTTGTTCCTAGAGTTCATGGGCATCTTGATCCAAAACACTGGTCCAATGTTGGGAGATAAGAATTGATAGGCCCAAAAAAAAAAAAAAAAAAAGAATTGATAGGCTCTACCAGTTGTTTTCTCTTCCCTAATACCACAATTTCAGTCTCAGCTCTGTGAGACAAAAGAAAATGAGCAAATGGATTCTTTAAGCTAAAATTGGAAAGTAGGTCAGAATTTCTGGGTATACGGGTGCTTGAGTTTAATTTGGGGGTTTAATGTTTACTCTGTTTAAACGTCTGCCATCCACCTTTCACAACGCTCTTGATGGAATTCTGTTAAAATTCTCTCGGAAACTTAGTGGCCTTCATAAGTGCCTTTTGAATTTTCTTTTTCTTTTAAGACCCACATTCCTAAAGGCAGTCACCTTCCACTACAAATTCATCACCCTCTAAACAGGCCTCTCCTGTCAACAGAGGTAGGCAAGTTTGGAAGACCATTCAGTCTTAAAAGTGTTTTCTTGATCTTAGTGTTGGGAGCTGGTTGAGGAGAGCACGTCTGCACCTGTGTGCATTTCCGAGGAGCAGGGCCATGTCTAACTGGTGCGGGGAAGGAGGCTGATGAGAACAGAGTGACGTGTCAGCCAGCTGCCCATGGAACAGACTGTTCTTTTTCCTTCAAGTTAACAATGGCACTAAATGTTACAATCAGAAACTTAACTTTCTCTAAGCCATCTAAGTGAAACCAGGTCCTAGGAAGCCATTTCAACAATAACAACCGTTATTGAATGCTTAGGATGTGACAGGTGCTGTTCCAAGTGTATACCTGTATCAACTCAGTTAACCTTCATAGCCTTATGAGATATGAATACTGTTATCCCCATTTTACAGATGAGGAAACTGAGGTATACAAGTTCAGCGATTTACCCAAGATGATGTAGCCAAAGAATATCAGAGCCCTGCACTTGAACTCGGGCAGTCTGGCTGCTATACCCTTAACCAGAGTCCGTACACTCAACCATTACACTACAGCTCAGACAACAGTATTTCTTAAGTATCTTCCTGTGCCAGCGCAGTATACCAGGAGCCTTAGAGCCACAGCAAGAGCAGTCAGAGAAGATCAGTTCTTAACTCCCTGTGTCAGGGGGAGCCAGATACCTGAGCTTCAGTTGTCAGTGAAAGTCTCTGAGGCATTTGGGCAGAGACCCGGGTGTCAAGAAGGATTGAGTCATGCAGAGATCTGTGGGAGGGTATCCTGAGCGGCAGAACAGTGCATGTGAAGGCACAGGAGAATGAGCTTAGCCTGTTCAAGGGACAGAAGGTGGCAGTTGTCCTGAACTACTTTTACTTCCTACTTGGATCATCTCTCTCACCTCCTTGCTTTTGTACAGCTGGCTGCTCCTTCTGTGTGAATGCCTACCTCATGTCCCTTTCACCTGGCTAAGTTCATTGTCCTTCGGGGCTTCGGTTTAGGGCTCCCCTAAATGAACGTCATTGTAGACCCCCGCCCCACATGGAGTGGGTGCCTTTCCCAGCTTGCGTCACACTTACCACACCCGACTGAGTTTGTCTTTTTGACTCTAGGAGTCCCTAGTTGGGAGGTATTATCTGAATTTAGAATACCCAGCTTTTAGTGGGAGTTTGGGGTTAGCACATGTAAGCTATTATATATACAGTGGATAAACAACAAGGTCCTTTTACTGTATAGCACAGGGAACTCTGCTCAGTATTCTGTAATAACCTAAATGGGAAAAGAATTTGAAAAAGAATAGATACACGTATAACTGAATCACTTTGCTGTACACCTGAAACTAACACAACATTGTTAATCAACTATGCTCCAATATACAATAAAAATTTTTTTAAAAGGTCCCATTATATAGCCTAGGGATCTATACTCAATATCCTATGATAAACCATAATGGAAAAGCATATTTTAAAAAAAGAATGAAAAAAAAAAAAGAACGTATCTCTATTTGTGTATAATTGAATCACTTTGCTCTACAGCAGAAATTAACACATTGTAAATCAGCTGTAATTTAAAATAAAAGAACGCCCAGCCCTTAACATACAACGGGCGACACCCAGCCCTTGACATACAACGGGCGACATCCAAATTGTGTGAATGGGTGTATTCCCAAGGTCACACAGTAAGTGGCAAAACCAGGTCTGAAAATTAACGGTCTATTCTCAAAATCCATGGTTTTTTGGGAATTCCCTGGTGGTCCAGTGGTTAGGACTCTGCACTCTCACTACTGAGGGCCTGGGTTCAATCCCTAGTTGGGGAACTAAGATGCCACAGCGATGTGGCCAAAAAAAAAAAAAAAAAAAAAAAACCCATGGTGTTTGGCACTCTGTGCTGACATACGTGGTTTGAGAAGTATGAAGTGCCTTGCTTCCATCTAACACAGTGTGTCAGAGCTGGTGGGTGATTCATCGTGTGCTGGCAGGAGAGTTTTCTGGGTGCAGGTTCTGTGTGAGGGCCACAGGGTGGTGAGTTGAGCATAATGAGCTGTGCTGGCAACAGCCCAGTAGCCAAAATAGGACATGTTTGACCAGTGGATCTGGCTTTGTGTTGGCTATTGGGGTGAGCCAGGGGCAGGTGGTATGGGTGGATGCCAAACATTGGCTGCTGAGGTCTTCTCCTCTGGCTATAAATTAATCTAGCGTTAGATTTGGTGGTAGAATCTCTTCAAACGGGCTTTAAGAAAGGAAAAGGTTAGTATGATAATGGAAATGACATAGCATGATCCAGGGGAAATAAAACTGAACTGGGAGTCAGGAAGACCACCTGTTGGCTTTAAGACTTTGGACAGACTAGGCCTTGGTTTCCCCATGTGAAATTAGGAGGATGCTAAGGGCAAATTCTCAAGTGTAACTAGGTGACGCCCTGGCTTACTCCTTGTTAGGGAAGTGGGGCATGAGGGGCAAATCCAGATGAAGCAGCCCAAGATGTGTAGAGTTCTCTGCTTTCAGTGCTTTTCTTTCTTTTTCTTTTTTTTAAAGTCTTTATTTGGAGTATAATTGCTTTACAATGGTGTGTTAGTTTCTGCTTTATAACAAAGTGAATCAGTTATACATATACATTTATCTCCATATCTCTTCGATAGATGGATTTGGGGTGCTCTCTGGTGTGCTTTGAGTCTTTTTTTTGAAAGCCTTACGTGAACTCTTTAACATCAGGGCTTAAAAGTCTGTTTGAAAACCTGATGTACCCTCCTGGGAGCCCTTATTCTTTTGGGTAATTGTGCAGCACTGCCCTTCTTCCAGAGCTAACAAATAAGCAGGTTCAAGGCATGATATCCCTCGATCTCATGCCCCCCAGAGTTTTTTAGGGCCTTATATTTGATCAAAATGTATATATACTTTAATCCTAAGAACATTCCCAAACAAACTGAGGCTGTGATTCATGAAATAATTTACTTGGTCTTGTCAGAGCGTTTTCTGTTCCAGTCCTTAAATGGATCTTTATAGTCAGTGATAAAAGCAATAATACCATTTTAGGAACTTGAAATGCTAATGTTTCTAGATGTCATTAGGGTGATGGGCGCATAGTATCCATTCTAATCCTTGGCTGTATAAAAACCAGAGGGAGGTATAATTCTCTCTTGAATTCTTCACTCATACTTGGTTATCTACTAGAAGTCTCCCATCTCCTGACACTGTATGCTAATTTTGAGACTCTGCGTCTTAGTCAAACAAAACCCAGTAGGAAGAGAATTTGTCCATCATTTTTAGGGAGGATGTGATCATTGTAGATACCTGGGAAGAAAGAGTCCTGGTGGTGGCGTTTATGGTACTTGTGCCGAATTAGCGACTTGACTTGTCCTGGATCTTGCAGACGTTTCTCCTCCCCTCCCCCCATAGAGCAAACTGCCACTAGAGGGCACTCCCACCCATTGCTGATGGCTCGAGGCAATTCCCGCTGAGACTGGCAAGCC